GGCGCTTGTCTTTGGGACTCCACAAGGCGTCCTGAAGAGCAACGGTCAAGTCCTTCTGGCATCCTGAGCATGTCAAATGAGGCTGTTTGACATGCCATCGGTTGTCGCCTAGCATCACACATTCGTCGTCAATCGGTTCCTTGCATGAGACGCAACAATCCGAAAGTTGATCTGCCAGAACTTCCACGCCCGTCATCAAATCCGAAGGAGTTTCTTCTTCCTCTATAGGTCTGAGTGCCTCCAGGTCTCCAAGACGATCTAGGAAATGGTGCAGGCCGTTGGGGTGCTCCTGCTCTCTTTCCAGCTTCAGAGCTCCTTGCAAGCCAATACGGATGAGGAGCTTCAGATAGTGGGCAAGACCAGTGACCAAGGAGAGAAGCTCTTGGGTGACCCCAAGCTTCCGGACGCCGGTCTCCTGGGTTTTCGACAGCAATGCGAAGAACGCTACAATCTTTTTACAAAGGAGTTTTGCTTCGCGGCCATAGGCGAGATCTAAATCGGGGAATAGTTAGTTAACTAACCCAATTTCGCGCCGTGGCAGAGATAAGTAATGTGATGACTCACCTTTCATGCCTTGAGCCTTGATCAGCTGGGCCAGTTGGTCAATGGCGGTGAACAGCACATCGACATGCCCAATAAATCGTTTCGCAACGAGCACACCGTCAACGTAGGTGCCGTTACTGACATGAAGAAGCATGTCGGAGATACATGCGGCTGACGATTCCTCAAAGCTCGAGAGGATGCTCCATATCTTATATACCTTCTCCTCCATCACGTCCTCTTCCTCCCGCACCCTGTTGCGCTCCTCATCGGTAGCATCCTGTTCAGATTCAACGGGCTCCAGCGGCTGACCAGTGGGTGCCAAGCGAACGTTCCAAAATTTGTGGATCATGTAGCACTCGGGGTGCCAGTGTTGATTTTGACCATTGCGGAAGATCTCTACGAACTGCTTCAAGATCGCCGTATGACAGCCGTGGCACCGTTGGGCGAATTGCGTCGAGTAGTGAAAGTGGCAGTATACCTTGCCCTCGTGTTCATAGTACGAGTCCTGCGCACCAAACACTGTGGGACATACGGAGCAAGTGAAATGCTCAATGTGGTACTTGCGTTCCAACGCCGTAATATACGAGCCACGCAGAGCGCCGCCGCACTCATGACAAAGGAGGTCTAGTCGTCGGAAATAGTCTGTTTCGCAAAGGGGATACTGGCCACTGCCATCTTCCGCATCGATGGGGAAAAACTTGGATGCCACGATTTGGCCGCAGTCCTGTGCCACTAGTCAGTCACCGACCATAGGATACAAGGATGAGGAGGGAAATTGAATGCTGGAAATTTTTACCTGGCATTTGAAGCACTCCAGATGAAACGTTGCAGACAGGGCTCGCACAAACTGACCGGTGAGAGGGTCACCGCACTTTTTGCAAATCCTGGACGTGCTAGCTGGCGATTTCGTATGCGGTCGGCCATTCGGACGAGACCTATCGCGCGGCGTGGACCTTTCCCTATAACCAGCGGGATCGCGCGGCGTGGACGGGTCGCGCGAGGCAGAGTTGGTCGATTCATACCTTCGACTCATTCGGGTATCGGCGTTCGGAGGGCCATCGACCGGGCTATTCCCATTTCTTGCGCCCGAAATCGTGCGCGGCGAGTCAAAGGGGACATTGCTATCTGCAGGTGACGTGGGGGTATTCGTTTTGGAGCCTCCTCCATAGCCACTAGTGTTTAACGTGGGACGGACAGCCCCGTTGCCCGGCACGAGGCTGTCCGGCAAAGGAACGTCGCCGGGAGGCATTTCCTGAAGAGCACTCTGGCGTTGGAAATTCGAATCAATGCGTCTCGACGATTATCTCGGAGGGTGTCGACGGCGAGGGTTGCGGCCAAGGTGTGTTGATCCTCGGGAGTGGCTTCGAGCGATGGGTTTGCCGCCAAGACTGGGTCGAATCGATTTCTCGAGGGGCGGGATAAACAAAGAGAATATCAAGGACGGCAGGATACCAGACGATCGGAATCAAGTAGTGCACGAATATGGCGTCCTCTAAATGGCGAAAAGAAAGGAGAAAACAACAAGAAAAAAGTCAGGCCCTAACCGCCTTTTTGGTCTTCTTTGCGCGGGGCAGTTTAGGGGCACTGGGGGTTCTGTTCCGTACCAACTCACCTCACGCCATGTGGATGAAACTTGCGGGGAAATTGGAAAGTCGAGGATATAGGATGAAAAGACAGGCTCGATCTACGAGACGCAATTGTCATAGACTGAGGCACGAGCGGTAGTGCTGATTTGGGGTTGTGGAAAGATATGTCACAAGGAGCGCAACCGCCCGAGTCGAGGGCGGCGGAATTGAAAAAAGGTTGGAGCTCAAAGCGAGACCAACAGGCGGCGGAGTAAACTGCCCGAGATCACAACCATTCCTACTTCCAACGGGGGGGAGGGACCAAGGAGATGGGGGTCTGAGCCGAGAGCGCCAGACAACCGACCGGGATCAAAAGAATAATCCAGGGAGTGGAAACCCGTCTGGAAGAAAGAGAGGAAGCGAGAGAGGGAGGGAGAGAGAATGAGAGAAGGAGAAGGAGAAAGAAGGTTAGGAGAGAGGAGATGCTGTCTCTTCTCTCTCACTCTCTCATCTCTCCGTTCTCCCCTAATTGTGCTTCTTCACGGCTGCCCACTAGGGATGGTCACGTGGATCTGTTCACCGCCCCAGCCACCGCCCGTCCGTCGGTGCCTGTGGGTGATGGCACAGTATACACTGTTTGGTGTTTACTTCTTCCATCCGGTTAGGTATTTATACGAGAGATGCATCCCGCCTACTATACATCTATTCGTATTTTCCCTCTGAACAGCAGCCTTTGTTCCGGCAGAAACCCCTCGGGCGGCAAACCCAGAAATCTCCAGGCCAGGAAATCCCAGCCTTCCAAGTTGGCGGGGTCTCACGAACGACCAATGACAGGGAGCAATCAGGGGCAAAGAGAGGGGAGGTTAAAAATAAGTACGGATTAGCGGTAGTCTAATGTTCGATGGCCCAAGAAGACGAGGGAATCAGGAATGAAGGTTGAGTGTCCACCGCCGACGGCGTACCGCCAGCAGGGGGGAAAGTGGGCGTCGACTCCATCCCGTGCAGGCGGTGAAACAGGGGTACAGGGTACACAGTACGGAGTGCGGTGTAAGAGTATATATCATGATCATTACTCATGAATAGTCCAGGTGGGATCTGATTGAGGGTGGAATCCCTCCTAAAGGTACACAGAACCTGATTGTAGTTATTCGGTCTTTCGTCGCTACGGAGCGTACACCTTACAGATTGATGTCCTGGGGGTGCATCGCTAAGGCGACTACGCCGTAAGCGGCGGTAGTGCCGCCTACGTAGGCGCTAGTCTCCACTCGACTTGACCAAGTCCCTTGAGAACAGCGTCAGTAAGTAAGAAAGGTCGGACCTTAGAACTTAGATACGGCGTCAAATTAACCACTCGCCTCGATCGGCTCGATTGGCCAAAGACAATGCACGGTGCGCCCTTGCTCCGATCTTGAAGTGGTTTGACGCCGCCAAATGTGAAAGAAAGCGCCGCCTACAAAGATATGTAGTCCCCCACTCCGTAGTTTTGTACCTACAACAAAACAGAAAATAAATAAAGAAAAGATAATGTGATCAAAGGGGATCGGACAAAGACAGCGGATACCCTGGTATGATGCATAGTCTAGGGTAGATGTACCTCTACTGGACTGAAGATCTCATTTATAGTTCATAGGAAGGCGCCAGTCGCCTGGCGTTTGTCCTGTCTGCATCCATCCGTTTGTTTGGAGCTTCTGTCCCGGCGGCTCTCTGATTCACCTCACCTCCTCTTCTTCCTCGGATCAACCAGCATAAATCAGGTACGAACCACCCCTGACGGCTGCACACAAGCCACTTTTCTCATCCTCTGGTTCATGACCACACGTGGGAAGCGTCTGGTTCATCCCTAGCCTCGGGGACTTTGGCCCTTCCATCGCCATCATCGCTCTGTCCTTCATACATCTAACAACAGCAACTTCTTAGCCGCCCAACCTACCCTGCCCTTGTTGTCAACTTACCTAGCAACTGGCGCAGCCCCCCCTCATCGATATGTCGGATCAGGCAACATTACGCATCACCAGGGTAATCGTCACATCTCTCAATCTTCGGGTCCGTGGTTCTTTGGAGTCGCCTGAAAACTAACGAGCGCCGTCAACGCGGGGTACTAGGAAATCAAACAAATCCAACAAGAAGCCGACCTTTGTAAGCCACGCTTGTTGTCGATTCTTGATGGACTTCTTTGGTGGTCATGCCATATAAACTGACTTCTGCCTCTGTTCGGGCGGCGTAGCTCTCGCCGTGAAATTCAAGGATTCTGATATCCGAGATGTGCGAGCTCTTATCCTGGGCCCCCCGGGCACCCCCTACCAATTCGGGTTCTTCGAGGTACGTTGGTATAATTTCTTTGTTGATTCCTGTGGTTTCGCATCCTGCATACCTTCCAAATCAATACTTAAGCGCTTGATCCAATATTGACTGCTGGGTTACATAGTTCAAAATCAAATTCGGTAGAGGTAGGCGACTCCGAGAAAGAGGATCTCTGTGCGACAATCTCAGCTCACCGATCTGTGACATGCTCCAGAATACCCCGCAAAGCCTCCAAAAGTCCAAGCCATGACGACAAATGGGGGACGATGTCGTTTCAACCCTAACATCTATGCCTGCGGCAAGGTTTGCTTGTGAGTTCCACCTTCCAGACATCTCAGCCTCTAACGCCCACCCGCTCATACATTCTAGGTCCATTTTGGGGTAAATTTCCAACAGTGTTCTTTAATTGCGGGAACCGAACCGGCGGCTGACTTGCTTTACAGCACCTGGCAGGGGCAGCGGGGGGAGCAATGGTCGTCTGCCCAGGGCTTAGAGTCGATTTTGATCTCAATTCAGAGCCTAATGTCAAACAACCCGTATGAGAATGAACCTGGCTACGAGAATAGATCGTCAAGATCAGACAAAGTCAGCATGAAGTCTTACTGTGCCAAGGTAACAAATCAACCGTTTTTGTCTAGCGGTTAACGTTGGTAATACTGACCGCGTCGCTTGCAAGATTCGTCACGAAACTCTCCGGATCGCAGTTATCGAGCCACTAGAGTCGGCACTGTGTGTCCGAAATGACGCAGTTCAGACCACGTTCAGCTCATCTGACGAAGGGGACCAGCATCTCTATGCCGATGATGAGATTATCACCTTTGACGATTTCCGTAAACAACGGTTCTTGTGGTATTTCGAGTCCTACATGCAAACCATTGACGAGGCTATCCCGGAAACACCACCCCAACGCAAGTTCGAGCTCATGCCATTCGAGGGTTACAAAAACGGAATGGAAGGTCACTTCAACTACCCGGAGCTTAAAAAACGCCTGGGTCAGGTCAGGGACAAGATCTTTGAGGAGACCTTTCGCTGGGTGGAAGAAGGAGTCCAGGCTAGAAAGCAGGAACTGGGCATTGCGGTCAATCTGCAGCGCCAGTACGAACAAATCGTGGAGCACTTCAAGAACCAAAAGAACTTCACGATCGATCTGAGTCTGGTGAACGGTAACCCATTCCTTTGGGAGTTCATTTATTTCGGTCGGCCCATGACCCAACTAGACGGAGGGATTTTCAAGTTCAAGATCTATTTAAGCCCGCGTTTCCCCGACGAGCAGCCTCGCGTTCTCGTGGAGACATCGCTTTTCCATATTCGCGTGTCTCCATCCGGAGTCCTTTGCTACTCTCCTCAGCGATCCGATGAGATGCGCTTTCACATCGAAGCCATTGTCGCCGCCATGGAGGAAGAATCGCCACCTTATGACCCTCGAACTACTGTGAATCCCGAAGCCACCAGGCTTTTCTGGGGCAACCCAGACCAAAAGAAGCAGTACAATCGGCAGTTGCGGAGATCGGTTCAGAGGAGCGTCGAATAATGGGCCTGACGCTCTTGGTTCATATGATGCTCATCGGAGACATGAGTTATGCATATTGCATTAGCGGAAACAGATATCTGGAGTTTAATTTCTCTTGACATTTTAGTCAGTGCTTTGTTTATTCTTTTTTTTATGACATTTGTTGTCATTCTTGTTTCCTTTGGGTCTGCCTACGACGTGGGTAGTAAATTGAAGGCAACGCAAGTGTGGCAGAGGCGTTGAAGAAATGAGATTTTCCTTTTATCCTACTCGTTCTAAATTTATTCTCGCGATTTCCAGTCTTCTCTAACTAGGCTAGAGTGTTAAAAGATACAAGGAATTTTACATATACTCCGTACCATGGCCGACAGTCTGCTTTCCGTAGATCAAAGTCGGGGGCGGAAGACGGAAGTGGAAATGGAAACGGGTCCGAGCTTCTTTGGCCCCGGACTTTTCCTTTTCTCCTCCCCAAACTTTCGTGCCAGACCAACTGACAAGTCTCCCTTGACCCTTCACTCTTATCCACCCTCTCTCCTTCTTGCCTCCCCTCCCTTAAACCAACCACCCTGTCCCCTTCTTTTCTTCTCCTACTTTGAATTCTTTCATCCTGATATCGCCGCTATGTCTACTACTAAACGTCCTACCATGGAATTGGGCAAGGTCCTGGTGGTTGGTGGCTGCGGGTTTCTGGGCTGGCACATTGTCGATCAACTGCTTGGATTCCCCTCAGAGACCGATCCCTCCGTCGCCCTCCCCAAGCCGCAAGGAGACGCTCGCTTTGAGTACCCCAACCTCGGAGATCGCTACCCCAGATACGTCACGAAGGTGTCCGTCGTCGATTTGAAAACGTCCAACAACCGACTGCCCGGCGCCGACTACTACGATGGAGACATCACGTCGGTCGAATCCATGCTGTCCGTCTTTCGCGCCGTCAAGCCCGACGTGGTTATCCATACCGCTACGCCCAATGTTCTGGAGGGAAACAAGCCGCTCTTGCGCAAGGTGAATGTCGAGGGCACGCAGACACTGCTGGAGGTCGCGGGCGGCGCTCATGGCGAGTGGGGTGGAAAATGTCGCGCGTTTGTCTACACGAGTTCGAGCTCTGTGGTGCACGATACGCAAAGCGATCTCATCAATGTGAATGAGGAGTGGCCTTACATTAGGGGAAAGCAGCAGCTGGAGTACTACTCGGAGACGAAGGTATGTTGGTCGCGTTGGTCATGGAGTTTGAGACATGCCCTAATGATGTTTGACTTTCTTAGGCGGACGCAGAAGAACAGGTCCTGAAATACAACCGCACTTCGCCCTCGTCGATGTTGACTTGTGCTCTTCGCCCGGCCGGTATCTACGGTGAGAAGGATACCACGTTCACATACAAAATCCTGGAACATTCGTCGAAGGCGTCGCCCACCGTTCTGCGCATGCAGCTCGGCGAGAACAACAACCTGTTCGACTTCACCTACGTTGGCAACATCGCGTACGCCCATATGCTGGCCGCGTGGCGCTTGCTTGGCACCAAGACTCGCTATGACGCCGGGCAGTCTGAACCGCTGGACCACGAGCGAGTGGATGGAGAGGCATTCAACGTGACCAACGACTCTCCGGTCTACTTCTGGGATATGACTCGCGCTGCATGGGCGCTCGCCGGCAAGGTTGTTGAACCCCATCAGGTGTGGGCGCTTCCCGAAGCTCTCCTGGGTCCCATCGGTGCTATCGCCGAGACCGTTCTGGGACTTATCGGCAAGACTCCCCGTTTGAACCGCAGGGTTGTCCGCTACTCGTGCATGACCCGCTACTACTCCTCCGACAAGGCCAAGTTCCGCCTCGGCTACACCCCTCTCGTCTCGGTGGACGAGGGTCTTGCCCGCGCGGTTGGCTACGTGGTGGAGCGCGAGCGTCTGGAATCCGAGAAGAAGGGTCTGTGATCCGGTGAGGCGAACGTGATATAAATCTGTCTGTACTATAAGTAATCGTCGGGTCATCTGGCCTTAATATCCATCTGTCAATATGTTTATTTTGATGCCCACATACAGCATGGGATTGTTGACGAAGTTCACGATGGTCATCTACTGCTAAGTCATTGTCAGCTCAATCTACTTTTGCTTACCAACGCATTAATTAATGAATTAGTATTGTGAAACCAGGCAAGCAAAACATCACGCAGCGCTGCTCAGTACGAGAGATAATCAAGCACCCCATCACGTACACATCAACATCATCTAATTACAGCTCTTCAACAGCTCCCGCAGCATCTTATCCCCCTTGACCACCTTCCTGTTGAAGAATCGTCTCGTGGTCAGGGTATACTCCGAGAGAGCCTCCTTGGAGGTAAACCGCCGCGGCGTGGTTCCCATCTGCCGCGCTTCCAAAAAGTCCACAATGTTGATATGTATTCCTTTCATGGCCTATGCAGCATGCGTGTGAGCTAGATCCGATCATACCCAACCCCATTTCATTTCATTTCATTTCAAACCCAACGCAAGAGACAAGGACCTTCTCCCACACAGATACACACAGAACGTACCTTTTTGCATTTCTTTATGGAGGCGAAAGGGCCCTTTAGACCGAGTTGCTCGCAAAGCGTCCTCCATTCGTCGAGCGTCGTTAGCTCCCTCTTCCCGATCAGCCGGTTGTACTCCAAATTGACGAATCTGTTCCACTGCTTGTTCCAGGTCGGGGAGCCGTCTTTCCATAGGCGGAGTTTGGCCAGGCGGTTGAACTCCTCGGTTATGAGGGCGTTGGGGTCGTGGTCGAAGTCCTTGAAGGTTCGGAAGTATAGTGAGGGAGTTGCCATGTCGGGGTGGTAGACGAGGGGGTGGCTGGTTTGGTTTGGTTTGGTTTGATTTGATTTAGTTTAATCTGATTTTATTCAACGAATTCAAGGTCAGAGCGTTAGGGTGTTGACGAAGGGCAAGGTAGAGCTGTGGGCATCTAGATAAGGGAGGTTGAGGGTTCGGCGTTTGTTAGTGGGACTCACAGGTACTGATCAAAGAGATGCTAGGCGATGTTTTTCTAGCATGTAAATGCGATGCCTTTTGTGAGCTAACAGTACTACTCATTTCAAACAGACGCTCAGACCCATTGTTGTGGTGGTGGCTAGAAAGAGATATCGTCTGTTTGAATTTGGGTAAGGATTCCGACAATCGCATGTCTTCTTCATGTCTACCCACGGACATTTCCATTCCACTATTGGAACACATACTGATCCGTTTAGCCAAACGCATCCAAATGCATGCCTGATCAACCATATTCCCAATTGACTCATCCTTCCAAACAGATAGCGGCGTGTTGTACCTTCTCAAACGGGAGCAAGGAAGGGCTTTCCTTGTTCTGGTTTGGGCGTGCATCTTCTACTCATGCCTTACCAGCTCATCTATCGTGTCACCTCGTCTTCTCTAGAGTCGATTTAGTTCTAAGACGACAACTCCTATCTCTGAATTGGTTTAATCTCCCACAACGACGATGTCCTCTCAGCCAACCCCCTCTATCCGACATTCGATGGCCCTGCTAATCCTCCTACTTCTCCAACTGCTAGGGTTCGCTGAAGGAGGTTCAGCAAGGCAACCCATCAGGCCGCTGGAAGGCATACCGGGGATCAATGCCACGTTCGATTATATTGTGGTTGGTGGCGGCACTGCAGGCATAACGTTGGCTGCCCGTCTGGCCGAGCAGAGGTTCCGCGTCGCTCTAGTGGAAGCTGGAGAGTTTTACGAAGCTCAATATCCTATTTCTAAGATCCCCGGAGCTGCAATCCTGGGCACAGGGTCCAATCCGGATTACAAAACACCTATCGATTGGGGGTTCGTGGTCGAAGGCAGCCCGGGTGCGAACTCGCGCGATATTCATTATGCGAGGGCGAAGTGCTTGGGGGGATCGTATGCGTTCAGTTTTCTTCTTCAGAGTGTTCACTATGCTGACCTTTGCTCTTGTGTATTTTGTCTGCAGATCGGCAATCAACTTGATGATTTACCAACGGTTTGTCTGATGTGATCTGTGGGTCTCGGGGACAAGGCTGATATCTGGGGTCTTAGACCGAGTATAGGATCGATGCAACTGTGGGCCGACCTCGTCAATGACCAGAGCTACACGTTCGAGAACACCTTGCGCTTCTTCCAGCGGACGGTGAAGTTCACACCTCCTGATAATCGCAATCGCCCTGCAAACGCTTCTCTGCAGTACAATCCAGACTCGTTTGATAAGAATGGCCAACCCCTTCACGTATCATACCCTACACACCCCGGATCTTTCCCTAGCTGGATGAAGCTCGGGCTGGAAGCAGTGGGGGTCAATGAAACCCGAGGCTTCAACAGCGGCTGGCTACTAGGGTCTCAATATACGCCGTTTACTATCCGACCGTCCGATCAATCGAGGAGCAGCTCGGAGTCTTCGTTCTTCGAATCCTCTCTATTGCAAATGTGGAAGCTCAGGACTTTGACTATCTACAAGATAACCATTGCAAGGAGAATCCTGTTTGATGCTCACAAACGGGCTACTGGGGTCGAGGTGAAAACCTTGGGACTGCGATATGTTCTGAATGCTGATCGGGAGGTCGTGGTCTCGGCCGGTGCTTTCCAGTCTCCTCAACTCCTGATGGTCTCAGGCGTAGGGCCAGCCGATACCCTTAAAGAGCACGGAATCGAGATCATCGCTGACCTCCCGGGTGTCGGTCAGGAGATGTGGGATCATGTCTTTTTTGGGCCGACATACCAGGTGGCATTGGAGTCCTACACCAGGGTCACAACCGACATGTGGTATCTCCTTGAACAAATCGTCAAATACTTAACTTCTCACCGGGGTGTACTTACTAACCCGGGTATTGAGTACCTGGCCTTTGAGAAGCTTCCAAACCAGCTGCGGTCTTCACTCTCGCCCCAAGCCCAAAAAGACCTTTCCTGGGTTCCAAGTGACTGGCCGGAGATAGAGGTAACATGTTCCTTGGCTCGCAGACTGGTCGGTTATGTTTCCGCTGACTTGAAGTGCAGTACATATCGGTACCAGTACATGTTGGTAACTACTCCATTCCGATACTACAACCTGGGGGTGGCAGACAATACGCTACCATAGCCGGGGCGCTTGTTGCGCCGACATCGCGCGGAAATGTCACCATCATATCAGCCGATACGGATGACTTGCCCATCGTTAACCCAAATTGGCTGTCGACGGAAGCCGACCAACAGATGGCAATTACAATATACAAGAGAATTCGCGACATTTTCCATAGCACGGTCATGGCTCCATTGGTGGTTGGAGAGGAGTATTTCCCGGGGATGCAGTATCAGTCCGACGGCGATATTCTCAACGTCGTCCGCGACACCATGATGACCGTATTCCACGCTGCCGGTACCTGCAAGATGGGAGTTCCCAGTGACCATATGGCGGTCATTGATAGTCGGGCGAGGGTGTTTGGAGTTCAAGGGCTGAGGGTGGTCGACGCTAGTTCTATGCCGGTTCTGGGTCCTGGGCATCCTCAATCCATCGTTTGTAAGTCCATTGTACAGGACTTGAGTTCTTCTCTAACGGTTCAAGATATGCTTGCAGAAAAGATCGCTGCAGACATTATTCATCACACTGCGTCAGGTGCCTGGAGTACGCCAGCTTGCTCTTGCCGTCAAATTCGTATTGGTTCTTTTGATTATGACTGGATATGATGCGATAGGTCCATTTTGATATTATATATTGTTGTCACGATGACATCATATGGGTGATGCTGGGTATATAGGTTAATTCTCAGCATTATTGGCATGGTTGATGCAGTACTTGGTCGCTGTTTACTATCCAACAGGAATCCATATGCAGATGCAGATGCAGAATGCATGAAGATCTTAGCCCGAATCCGCTATATTTGAGTTCACATATTCTGTCCCTTAGAATCTCTCTGAGCGGCCCATATGTACGGGGTACACTGCGTACGTTAATGTAATCAGCACAGGGGATTCGTCGTCATGGATATAGATATGGATATCGTCTAAGCCCCCCCTCCTGCAAGGATTATGTGGACCGATAGATAGTCTGTGCAACATAACTTGAAACCGCCTATGACTAAGGTATGATGTAGGGGGTGCAGATGGGGAAAGGCGAGGTTTACGGTGTACATTGTGTACTTGATTCGTACGAGAGATCGGAAGATCCTGTGTTCAGTTCAATTTTCTTGTGGTATGATGCGATTGGGTGATGATTGCCTTTTTTTTTTTACATAATGATCAGGATATTCTTCTTTCTCTTCTTCTTTGAGGCTTAGAATCAATATAAAGTGAGGTGGGGAGATAGTGTGTGGCATCTGTTTTGGATGACGACTGGATTTGCCGTTGTGGCGATTTGGGATATATTTATAGGACCTCCGAGATTAGTACCTATAGATAACAAACCCAGGTAAATAAACAAACATATCATCTTTTATTTTCATATTTGTAGTTATACGGTGTATATATATATATATATGCGAAGTTATGTCATTAGAAACGATTAATTGAGTTCAACTAGTTGATTGTTTGCTTAATCCCTGGATTTTGTCATCATTATGATTCAGTGGAGGTGGTGGTGGTGGCTCAAAAAGTACTGGAGATCATGATCATGGGTTAGGTTCTGATGTCTACCTACTTGTGTGAGGCTTGCAGATCCTTGATGGTGTGATGGATACGATGTTATATATGTATATATATGTTGGGTTGTTAATGGTTGTATACTTTCTACTATGGTGGAGGTCTCTGGGTTTTGAAGGAGGAAAGGAGATGGTGTAGGGTGTATGGTAGGTATACTCCATTGCGCTCTACCATACACGTATAACTATGAGATATTCACTAGATTATTATAGTTTTAATACTTGGAGTTATAGCTGTGAATACAATCGATACTCCATTTGATGCATATGGAATTAATGTTCGATGTTAATCAAGTTATCTTGAAGATCGGATATACAGAATTCAACTACCCCAACATCCATCCCTTGTACACAACCCAATCAACGGCAATATCGCAGGGATCAATAACTAATCAAATTAGACCTGGCAGTCAGACCATTCAGACCAACAGCTTCGAATTGCCTCGGAACTCGACCCGATAATCGCCACGCTCGACTCTGCGACAAAATGTCAGTTGACAGGTCGAGAGAACCTGAACCAAACACCGTCTGAGTCGGTGACTTGACCTTCTTTGAAACCTAGCTACTAACTAATCCTTGTATGTAGAACGGGATAGGACGTCGTAAGAGTGGTAGGTTAGAAGGTAGTTGGTCAATGGTACTTTTGTCACGCCTAGACCCGGGAATGCCATATTTGGCTACTACACCGTAGGTATGCCTACACGAGGTAAACAGTTATCCGTCTGGGGTATCTTCCAATGACATAGTGGAACTTATTATGCAGTTATAATAAGCCGTTGATATAGCTTTGACTCACACATTGCTCTAGTTAATTATAAGTACCGGTCTTTATTGACCGAAAGGATGCCAGAATCAAGGGGTTTATATCATGATCATATTAGGATTAGATCCCACTCGATCAATCATCTAGAATCAGCCAAACCATCAAATCCCTAAGACCAGAAAAGGCATCTGGAAACGCGGAGAGCGGAAAGCCAGGAAGCAAAGAGAAGGAGGGTCGTGAGATCTCCGAGTGGAAGCCACGTTCGGGATCCAAGCACGAATCTGGTCGACCAGGTGATGCTAACTAAACCACGGACTTGGAGAAGGAAGAGTCTAGGCTGGAGTGGACTGGGGCGTTAAGATTTTTCTTATCTTGTTTTGATTTCTTTGAGTTATCATGATGGTTTTACATGTGCTGTGGAGGAGGACCGAAATTGTTCTACACCGTACCTCAGGTAGTTAGTTCTACATATTATTCTGTCCTTCCAGCCAAGTCTAAAACAAAAGAGCCGTTCCCCGGACGGCAAAACCAGACCAGACCAAAGATTCTCATCCCGCATTGTCAGATGATGAATTCCCGGCTCGTTTCAACCAACCACGACGCAACATTTCAGAGACCGGAACAACGGGCAAGTGCAGTTCCAGTTCCAGTTTCCAGGTTGAACCCGTCCAATATTCTCGACGGATCTCTCGCCAAAGACTGGGTCTTAGGTAGGAGGTCGGTATTCGATGGGATGGTCGACTCCGTACGGTGCATGTCTCTCTCTCCGCAATGAGAGAGCCGATCATGGCCTCATCGTCCCGTCCGACGAGGTAAGGATTGACGGTGCCGATGCCGATGCGATGCGATGTGATGCGGGTCTGCGGACGGATGGGGATTCTGTGGGGAAGGATGAGATAGATGGTATGATGATGATGAATGGGTTGGATTTGGTTCCTCTAGGAGGGACTGTAGAGGTAGGGATTTCCGCTCTCTTTGGAATTTCATGTGTTTTGGTCTTGAGGAGGTGGTTTGTCTGATTCAGATGCAGGCTATTTGGATGTTCATACGTACTCGGTGTACTGTGTACAGTGGACACAGAAGTTGACTCCAATTCTCCATACTGATAACTACTGACCATTCAAAGTAAACGATCGATCATTTCCAGTCGCTGCATGAGGGAATGGGACCCATGCACGACGCAGGGAGTACGCAGTAATATTTTTTCATTTTTTTTCTCTTCCTATTCTCTTGACTCTTCCTTGCCGGTCCCTAGAGAATGGACGTCTCGCAGGACGACGAAGAAAGATGGACTCCCCACCTTTTTCCTTCGAGTTACCCCGCAGAATCGAATCCGTTTCACGCAGCCCTCGTTGATCCTGCTGATGCTCGCCTTGGGTCTTGCGAAACTTTATTGTCTCCTCGAGCGGAAAAGTGCCAATCATCTGTCTGGGAGGTTCAAAGGTACTGACTCTCAATTCTGGTTCTTCGATTCTTCCAAGATATACACCGTAAGTGTACTGAGGATTATTAATTGATAATCCCGCCTGGTTCGGTCGGCAGAGAGGAGAAAGACACTGCATTAATTAAGACAGACAGACAGACAGACTCTGCAACCCATCCAAGACCTTGCACTATCCAGCAATGTAGGAGGTCGATGCTAATGCCAACCTAGCCTCTCACTAACGTAGCTTGTCCATGACTGCAGAGTGCAGACGAGGTGGGGAACGTCCGACTTGTACAAATCGTTTGTGTTCCCACTTTGTACCCCGATTCCGCCCGGGGCGAAGGGAAATGCTGAAGGACGGACACACACACAGACACACAAATAACAAAAAAAAAAAGAAATGGTCACACCAATGAAGTGTAGAGGCTGGACACATTCATGGAATTTTCCATGAACATCGTCACACCCTTGTCCGGTGGATGAAGAGAAGGAAGAAGGGGGGAGGATCCATGGAACGCGGCCAGGAGGTGACGTCCCGAGAACTCCGCCGGAAACGGTGGATGGCGGTACTTTTTCGATCGGATGATCATCTGGACATTCTTCCTGAGTATCTGGGTGGTTCAGTAATATGATATGGTTTTGATTCAGTAACTAGTTAACTTCGAGGCTGAATAATTAAGAGAGAGCCGGACTATCGACTAGGTAGTTAGTTAACGGTGTTAGTTATGTACACAGTACAACAGTACAACTAAGGAATCCACTATCGCCCACCGTTAGAAGCAAATCAGCGTGGCGCATGTACGGACCGGAATGACAGGCCTTCGAATGGTGCCGATAAGTTGATAGCAACTAATTAATTAGTACGACGAGCTGGTGGTCCGAGGAACGAGCCGTGTCTAGACGAGGAGGGGGGGAGGGCGAGACAGGGATGCGACAGATCTTATGCTGCTGGGGATGAAGGCACGAGCGAATCATCGGTCGGGTCGATACGATCCAGACAACAGGTCATGATGATGCTGAGGATGAGGAGAAGGAAGAGGAGAAGCTGATCTCTTTCAGATACTTCCACCTTCCAGAGTCGAGGTCAGTCTCTTTTCCCCCCGAGAAGGGCAACAGTCGGTCCGTGGCGTGGTCGGTGTTGAATCATGTTATGCTTCGTGCTCGCGTCCAACGGTCGGGGGGATTCTTATTAATGGTTTATTTCTGGGTTTTGGTTGTTGGTTCTTACGAGAGTTTGACTGATATAATTTATGTTTTTACTGTTCAGGGTAGTTTATCCTAGAAGGACGGAGTAAGCACAGGTTTTGGGCTTCAGACTGCACTGTTTGTTTCAGAGTGTCGAGACGAGCAAGAATCCCATGTCGTAATGATTAGAAGAATCGGAATCGATCGTCCTCTGCCGTTCCTCTTTTTTTTTTTTTCTTTCTTTATTTCCCAATGTTTTTCCAGTCTTCCCTGCCTCACTTTGACTTTCAGACTGCATTTGCCTTTTGAACCCACTTCTCTCTTCGCATCCCTCTTTTTTTTTTCGTCTTTTTTTTTTTTATCTCCGTCCCCTTCGGCTCCCCCTCTCACTCTCCTCAATTCATATTTCCATACTTCTTTATCCATCTTCATCCACTCGATACGTCGGATCGTTGAGATTCTCCCGGAACTGTCTTCGTCAACCTCAATCGGGGGTTGACTCGGTCGATCACGCTGGCTTCGCGTTGACGCCTCCCGTCGCGCTCTTCCCCGCATAGCCGCTACTTTGCTTTTCTCTTGGTCGTTCTTCTTGTTCGTCTGTCCACCGATCACGAGGTGCCATCTTTTTTTTTTTCTTAGTGTGCTTTTTTTTTTTGTTTTGATTTGTTCTATTTTC